GTTTTTCAGTTTTTGTAGAGGTTTTACGGCGCTCGCAACTGCATAAGGTCGTATGAGCGCCAGAAGATTAGAGGTGTTATAAGAAAGTAACAAACATAAAAAAGAAGGAGGGGAGATAAGGACGATAGAAGTTGCATAGAAAAGAAGAAGCAAACCACACCAGAGCACCCGCCAACCGCCCACTGAGTCTGAATTTAGTTGGGGGTTTTTTCAAGCAAAAGAAACCCACGGAACAATATAACACGTCATAACCGATTGTGTAACATGGCAGTATCACTTTGCTCTGCCACGCGTCGCAGTTCATACAATGCAGTTTCAAATTTCAAACTGTAATGGGGAAGGGGCTCTCGTGGCCTAGAGGTTAAGGTGTTCGCCTCTCATTCAAAGGTCCCGGGTTCGAATCCGGGTAGCGACCGAAAAATTTTCTTCTCTAAATTTGTCTCCTTTCACCTCCTTTCCTACTCTCTAGCAATGTTCTGTCGTCTGCTTTCGTCTCCTCTTTCTACCCCATCCCCTCACCTCCTTTGCCCCTTCCTCTGGGCTCCTGATTCTTTCTGCAGCCTTTTTATTGCTACTCCTTCGCTTCTTCTTACTGCTGTCTTTCTGCCACACCCCTGATCTTCTTGTAGGAAAGATCTACACCTAGCCTTCTCGGACAAGGGCGAAAAATCTCGGAGGTCCCGTGTGCAAGTTGTGCACGTTAAAGATCCCTTGGTGGTCTAAAATCGATAAGAGTAGGCTTCGGCCGCCACCAGGGCAAAATTAAAAAATTCCTACCAACTGAAAAAGTTTAGTGTGTCCCGCGCGCTCATATGACCTTATGCATTTGCGAGCACCGTAAAACACTTACTAAAACAAACAAACAAAAACTGTAATGATCCTTTGTTTATTTGGGTTTTTTTTACATTCTCTCACTGGCCCGGGTCGCCTCCCTCTACGCAGAAGCAGGACATTCTACACAGTGCTATTATAGAGAAAATGCACACGGAAAATGGCTGTCTTATACAGGTGGCCGTCTTTGCAGATTAATTTGTTTGAACTTGAAGCAATAGAAATGCGGTTTCTTAAGGAGACTTTTGAGAATTTCACGGAAGGAAATTAAATCAAATTAGGCAGTGCTCAAAGAAGCCTGGGTGGGCCACCATCTCATAAAGACAATTAGGGAGAGACAAATACAGCTGAATAGACATAAAAGCCATGAACATCTTAATCTTGTTTGTTTGTTTGAGAAAGAAAGCACATCTCGAGACAAAAATTGTCATTTAGTGCTGGGAGAGAGCAGGACAGACAGAAACGGCAGGGAGAAAGTAGAGAAGTAGGACCTACCAGTGGCACCCTCCAACCACCCGCCTGAATATCTTGCTCTCACTAGTTTAGTTTCAGCAAGGTTTTCATGGCGCTCGCAACTGCATCAGGTCATAGGGGTGGATGTCAACAGAGAAGTCCAAACGGGAAATCAGGCTTACTCTGCTCACCTCTCTAGCCTCAACAGCACAAAGTCTGCTTCGACTATCAAGGCACCACGGAAATAGCAGTTCACAAGAGAGTGACAAACATAAAAAAGAAGTAGAGGAAAATTGACGATAGTAAGGATGAGGAAAGAAAAAGCAGCACTTCCCCCTATGTTGTTCCGGCACAGTATGAGCATGACATTGATAAATCATCCATTTACAATTCTACTGTGCATAAGAACATGTCAATATCCCCCCCCCCTCTTTGGGAATGGCCTAAAGACACTTTAGTCAGTAGTACTGCCCTGAGGGGGGGGAGGGAGGTTGCTCTCACTAGAAAATAGAAGGCAAACAAGGCAAGGGTAGACCAAGAAAGACTTACTTCGGGAATGTTTTAGAGCATCCAAGCAGACAAATATGTTTGGGGATTTTTTTGTCTGTTTTTTTAGTTTTAGTAAGAGTTTTACGGCACTTGCAGCACAAAAAGGTCATATAAGTGCCGAAGATTAGAGGTGTTACAAGAGAGTAACAAACGGCAAAAACGAAGGAGGGGAGATAGAGATGATAGATTTTTTTATAGGAAAGAAGGAGCAAACCACACCAGAGCACCCGCCATGGCCAACCACCCACCAACTTACTTCGGAAACTTGAACTGATGGGTGAAAGACCAGGACAATACAATACAGTAGTTTGAGAGAATCCAAACAGACAAATAATGTTGTTGTTTTTTTATTTTAGTAGAGGGTTTCACGGCGCTCGCAACTGCATACGGTCATATGAGCGCCAATGGGTGGGTGTCAATAGAGAAGTCTTTACAGGGAATCAGACTTACTCTGCCCACCTCTCTAGCTTCAACAGCACAAGGTCTGCTTTGACTATCAAGGCACCCCGGAAATAGCAGGTCACAAGAGTGTGACAAACATACAAAAGAAGTAGAGGAAAATGACAATAGTAAGGATCTGGAAAGAAAAAGCAGCAGTTCCCTGTTGTAGATCAGGCACAGTTATGAGCGTGACAGGATGAATCAGCCCATTTACAATTCTACTGTGCTTGAACGAGAAATGTCCCCCCTTTGGGAATGGCCTAAAGACACTACAGTCAGAGGCACTGCCGCGGGGGGTTTGTTTGAGTCAAAAGAAGCACATCCACACAAAATGGCCATTCAGTGCAGGGTAAAAATAAGACAGACATGAAACAATAGAGGGAAAGTAAAGACAAAAGAAGGAGGGCCTACCAGTGGCAACCTCCAACCACCCACAGACAAATATGAGGCAAACCATAACTGCCAGTGTCGTTTTCAGATTTGGCACCAAATGAAAATGATTTTTGGTTGGAATTTTGTTTGTTTCGCTTTGGATTTGTTTTTGTTACTGTTGTTTTCTTAGGACTGTTTTGTTTTTCTTGTTTGTTTTTTTCTTGTTTTTGTTGTTTTTGTTGTTTTTCTTGTTTCATCTGGTGGGAGGGGGGGGTGTTGGGTTTTTTTTGTTTTGTTTTGGTTGTTTTATCTGTTTGTCGTTGTTGGGGGTTTTTTT